AAGATAAGGAGAAAAAAATCTGTGCTCGGTAGCTCCATGTAATTATTTGAAGGTTAAAGATAAACGAAAAAAATAAAATAAAACAGATTATCAAATGTAGAAAAGCTGGTTATACAGTTAAATGTCTTTCTCTATTGAAGATGCACAATGACTTTTCAAAAGGTGTCTCAAGAAGATGATCTATTTATCTGACCATTTAAATATATGATTATGAGGAGACAGATTATTAATACTAAATAAAAGATAACACTAGATACACTAGCATGTATTCAATGGACATACATCAAGCAACAATTTAAAGTTTTGTAGAACTCCTTTTGAAATTGAAAGGATTTCAATAAGCCTTACTTTAAAAGCACTGTGCTACATAATCTTTTTAAAAAACCTCATTAATCAGGTTATTTTTAACTGAACAAAAGGTTGTAATATCCATTGATCACAGGATTTAAAATACATCTCACACACTTATATATTTGTGCTTTTCAACCCACTTTTAAATATATCAGTGTACTGGAGATTTTGCCCTCAACAGTCCATCTCCATTTTCAGTTTCTGATTTCAATCAATGCAGTTGTCAATGCAGAATGTACATACTGTATGTTAGAACAAAAAAATGCAGTAATGTTACTGAGACAGAACCTAATACTTTAATAAATATTTAATGATAATTCTTTTCTACATAATAGAAAAACTTGTATTTTAGCTATTTAAAAACTCCCTTTTTATGACCCTATAATGCCTGAATTTGGGGAAGAGTTGGGGTGAATGGATGGAGATGACCGTTTACTGATGGATATCCTTCCCGATGTCATACAGAATTATAGCAGATATTTTTCTTTATGTCCTAGAAGAGAAACACCTACTGATACCTAGCATTGAACTCCCAACCTTCCAAGCGGGAGGTGCGCATCTTCACCACTAGGCTACCACACCATTCTTGACTTTATTAAATACTGACAAAATATGAGATTGGCAAAAAAGAATAACACAGGAAAATATATGGCTGATCCTGCCCTGGACTTCAGAAATATAAGCCAGAGCTTGAAGACAGTATCATGTGAAAGAAACACATATTTTTGAAGGATAGTTCTCTATAAAATGCAATCAAAACTGTGGCATAAGAATTTGACTTGAATTTAAGTAAGCACTAAATAATAAATAATAAATCATCTCTGTTTCAAAGCTGAAGAGCCAGCGCTGTCCAAAGATGTCTCCATGGTCATGTGGTCATGTGGTCGGCAAAGCCATGGAGACATAAACGTCAAAGGTGCACAGAATGCTGTTCCTAATTTTTTACTTACATTTTTACATGCTTTCGAACTGCTAGGTTGGCAGAGGCTGGGACAAGTAACGGAAGCTCACTCTGTTACGCGGCGCTAGGGATTTGAATCGCTGAACTGTTTACCTTTCTGATTGACAAGCTCAGCATCTTAGCCACTGAGCCGCTGCATCCATATTTTTATTGTACTGTGCTCTATTCAATCATATTGTCCATACAATTCAGTGCACAACATAAAGACTCTGCTATCAGCTATGTTGCTTTACAGTCGAAGTACAGCATCTTGCAGAAATATCAATTAACTATACTAAAATAATTAAGAGACCTATTCATTTTATTTCTAATAAACAATCTAGAAACTTAGGTTATTCTCCCCAAAAAATATGCCACTAAAACTAAAGAGGTAC